CAGAGACTGGGACTGTCGGAAGACAGTATGTGTCGCTTCTGTTTGGAAAATGAATAAGACAGGAGAATATACTTTGTGCCTGCCCCACTGGGGACCGAATCTGGTTTTTGGAGTTCGGGAGAGCCGTACTTTTACCATCTGACCTGAAAGACCACTCACCATACAAACTAATAATCGGCTTCGTTAAAAAGCTGGGTTTATTTGGTCGAGTGTGAATAGATGTGAGCCACAATAAACCCTTGCGGGTTGCGGTGGATGGTCGAAGAGACCCATTCACTTTAGACCTAACCTAACCTACTGTCTACGAAGTAAAGACGATAAAATCATTAGTAGCTTGTGCACTTGTAGACGATCATCGTGAAATTTTTCAATAGATACCGATGCTGCCAACTCTAGGTGGTGTATTTATAGTTACTTTAGGTTCATGAACGTTTATATGTCAAATTATTTGAACTGGTGAGTCATAGAGAGCTTGTTGTTCAACTGTTGTCTGGAGAAGCAACTGTAATTCTTCAGGTAAAAGAGAAGGCGATAATGGTGGTTTTTCACCTTCAGTTGGACTTCAATTAGATATACTTAGTAATAACTGCAGACACAATAGTATTTTCTAGATCAATTATATATGTTCTCTCAATTTTCTAGATTAGGTGTATCTGTTACAAATGCAGGAGCATAATCGATCTCAGTAAACAAATTCCGATTATACGGGTATTAACCGTTTTGCGAAAAACGGTTTGAATGTTGGGATCGTCTTTGTCGGATGCATTTCGCTTGTCCACCGCTTTCTCTAGTGAATATCCAGCTTTTACCACCCCATTTCAATTACTATATCTCGACAAGTTGATTTTCCTTCTAGAAGTCTTCCTCACCCGAACTTACGGCATCTAGAAAAAATAAACAATAATATATGTGTGCTTGATGACTTGTTTATTTTGTGGTAACTCATGATAACTTTAATGGAATGAATAAAAACACTTTTGTCTAATTACCACTAGTTGATTTTATTTATACGACCGGTGATAATGGGATCAAAAATGAAACCGGTCGTTCCCAACACCAAATCGTTATTTTCAACACCTCGACAGGTGTTTCGATCACAAAGTGATCATCTGCAAAGAGGAAAAAGATTCTTTTAATCTTATTTTTTTCCTCACAAATTAAGGGTCTTACAACTTTTTTTTGATTATTCAAATTCATTCTTTTTTGCACAATTGTATCTTCTTTTTGACATTATTTCTATGTTAACTGATGTAGGTATTTGAATATTTCGGTCCGGTTATTAGTTAACATTTACTTCCTGGTATTTATTCTATCATTAATTTCAAATCTGTCATGGAAATCTGAACTTGTAACGAATGAGTAGTTACGCAATGAATTCAACTAAGCTGATAAATTTATATGGAAAGAAATGTGAGGAAATCTGAAGAATCCCAGCAGTAACGAAAATGTAAGTTTTTGATCCAAATACGATTGTTGCATAATTTAGTACAATTGATTTTCTGATATATTCGAACGTAACTTGATGAAGATCCATAGTAGGTAATTTCACGAACTACACCTTTGATATTCACAAAATTTACCATTTATCACTTTCAAACGCGAAGGCTTTGTTCGGTTTATGAAAAATGAGAAATAAACAATTACGATAATTGTTTGAAAATATCCTTATAGGACGAAACTGCAGTAACAACAATCAGTCACGAATAAAAGTGATAAAAAACAGAAAGTTTTATTTCTCATTTTTCATGATGATCTCCTACCACGTAGTAACGGCTACATCCATCAATTTTTTGTTCGGTTTCTATGACAGAAGAAACAATTCAGAAAAAACTGAAGCTAACACCGAAATTAAAAATTATTGTCACTGATGATGCTAATTATTTTAAATGAAACGCTATAAAAATATCAAGTGTGATATAACACGGAATTGTGATTTTGTCGCCATATCTATATTGTGATAAAAGAGTTGATTGTGGCCGTGGTGACACTAAACGTTTAATCATTCCATTCTTTCATATTTTTCAACTCGAGAAGAACAAAAATCCCGGTAAATGTTCATTGACCTCTGTACTGTTCCCCAACGATAGTTACCTTTTCCCATTCGTTCAGACCAGTCTCAACTTTCTACCCCGTAGTTTAAAGGATTGACACACTTACAGACCGGTTCCGGCCTGGTTGGACACTAGTCATTGCAAGGTAGTGTTTATCAATGAAGTCAATTGAAAATCTCTAATTCCTTCAGAGTATCATTCCTCGAACTAGGCTAAAGCAGACCCCAAACAACAGGTTTGTCATCGCCCCATCTACCTGTGAACGAGGATTCGAAATTTGCCCAATTCCTCGTATAAGGAAAGAACACATTTCACGTATAGTCAGTGGGCATACTTGAAGACTGGCTATAAATAAAATCATCTAAAGGAACAATTCGTTCAATATTTGAATATCTATTGCGGCAGTTGTATCGCCAACAGCATACGCAGAAATAACTTCAATGAAGAATCCTGCACTGACGCGAATTGTTCCTTTAGATGATCTTATTGTATTTTAGGTTAAATATAATGAATATTACTGAAGTTATTTTTAACACCTCGACACGTGTTTCAATCACTAAGATCTTCAAAAGAATACTAACAAACTCTCATTGAGATTTTAAACTTTATATCTTACTTACTTGCTATATTTTAAATGTATATGTTTAGTATAAATAGTACCTGTTGACATACCATATGTACATAGTGTACCTCAGTGGCTACATAAATTATTATTATTATTATTGGATTCATTCTGTGCCGAAGGTTCCAGTGTTACCTTTCATTTCTAAATAATATAAATAAACGATTGAGAGGTTGCGTAACGGATAAAAATGATTCGAAATCCTAAACTCTTCACACCTTCATACAAAATTAATTCATAACCTCACTCTTCAACAGAATATATTTTTAGTCTCCTAATATTTTCATTTCACTTCCAAAACCTGATTCGTGATTAACAGTGCATGAACATTATGTTGGTGGAAAATAATGTTCACAACATGTGGGTAAAAATTTTGAACTTATTCATCCAGCATAGTATTGTTCCATTCGCTATAAACGTGACATATATGAGAGTTAGGCAGTGTTGCCAACAGGATAAACTATAAAGTCGCTACACATGAAGCAAAATTCTGTTATACTGCTTCATATTCCGTTACGCTTGTATATCTGACGCAAATCAGTTCGCGCATGCGTCCTATTCAAAATATCCCCATAAAAGAAATCTAATGATAAGATCAGGTGATCGCGCTAGCCATTCAATCGATCCTCGCCTTCCTATTCACCGATTGGGAAATATTGTATCGAGGTATTGCCGGACATTAACAATCCCTACCCCTGCCCAAACATTAACCTTTTGAGGGTATAGCGTGTATTCTTCTCTCATCCAGTGAGGAATTTTCGTTAACCAGTAGCAACAATTTTGTCAATTAGCATGACCGTTTAGAGACAAAGTACACTCATCAGAAAACATAATGTCTTCTAATTGGATGATATTGTTATCCAACATATCCATCATTTGCTCACCAAAATAAGTTCTTCTATCAAAATCGTCTTCCATGAGCTCCTGAGTAGGTATTTTTTTATAGGGATGCATTTTATTTTCTTTCAGTATGTTTACTATCGATGTATGGCTAACATTGAATGTAGTGGATGCCTGTTCTACTCGATGTATGTTTCCTCAAACTCAAGCATCACATATAATTTGAGTTCATCAATCATTGCATTGGCAGCTGATTTTTTTTATCTGCTCCATATAATCAAGCTCGTGAAACTTCTCTATTTTGCTTATTGTTCCTTGAGATATGGGCGGTAAATTAGGAAATTTCTCATGAAATAGGCGAGCTACTTCCTGTTGTATTCGGGTTTCATCTCCATTTGTAAAACTGTTATTTTATGTATTTTCGTTAATCTAATCATTTGTCAGACTTGAAATTAACAAACTTTAAACTTAAATTGAAATACTGACAACTAACGTTGTATCATACAAAACAAGTTGATAAGGCGTTTTAAACTAACGCTGCCACGGAAATTATTTACAGTAGGATACCATCTAAAAGATTTTTTCTCACTGTCTTATTATCAATACCTCAACTTAAAATAAGGTTTGAGTATATTGCAATAAGTTTTGAGTGTATTTTATCGAATTTCGGTAACCACATGATTTTGATTTATTTTATTTTAATTGTTGCAATAAACTTGAAAGCGATAACATTCTTGAATAGAGAATGAAGAGACCTTTCAAACGATATGTCACAAAAATATACCTCCCATTTGAAAAATTGGGGGTTGTGACCTCCCTGTCATTAGAAGGGGGTTGAAGTTGGGTGTGTCATTTTCACGTTGAAGAATGTCATTATAATTTACATTTGACGTGTTACGGGATTTTTCAAATATATACAGTAACCGAAATAACGAGTTTATTCCTAAAATCTGGTGGCAGATGTTTTCTAGCGATACTACTCTTGGAATGTTTTGATATCACATTTTTTACTTCTTTCCTGTATAATAGTCATTGATCTCAGCTACACAAAATTACAGCTAGATTATTTTCAATTTTCAAAGGTTTATTAAGGTACTTTAGGTGGCATTGAAACCTCTAGCGTGAAATGAATCTGAAGAAAACACTGCCTTTCGAAGCGCGTCTTTGTTCTGGTGTAGGAAACGTGTTTTCTTTAGATACTTATTTGAATCATCAATTACTGTTGTTTTGCGTTTACTTCTCGGCAAATATTTTATAATTCTTTCATTTTTATAGCAATTCTAGTTTATGTTTCCAAATGTATTACATTCGAAAAAAAAAATAAAAAATCTGATGAATTTCACCCATACAATTTCGGTGAGAATTCTGAATTCTCTTGATAATTAAGGTGGAATTTTCATTATTTCCAGAATAGGGAGTATGTAAATCAGCAAATGTCATGAGTGTTTTTCATCAGAAGTCACGATCTAATCATCTCTTTTTTTCAGGGTGAACATCTTTCTTTCCGGACAATACCCATGTCTCTGATTCGAACTTTTTCCATGATGTTAGGAGAAATAGACTTTTTGGGTACTTACGTCAGACCATACTACATGACTAATGACGCTGAAAAATCTTTTCTACCATTTCCAATACCAGCTTTCTTGATTCTTGGTCTCTTCATGGTGCTGATGCCAATATTGCTGATGAACCTCCTAATCGGTTTGGCTGTTGGTGATATTGAGTCTGTCAGGAGAAATGCTCAATTGAAAAGGCTTGCAATGCAGGTATGTGATCTGTTCGAGAACAGTGTATTGTTAAGATGTTCGACAAATTTTATCCGTCGAGTTGTCACCTTTTCTTGGAGATCAGAAAGATAAAAGGAATAAATGTTATTTCAAACCTCTCTTCTATCTTGATAGTTAGATCTGTAATCTCCAGTGTGAAATGAAGCTGTTTTAAACACTTTTCCCACACCAGAAAAAAATAATGTCTCTCTTTGCGCGTTTCGCTGAATTAGTAGCATTAGGACATGACTTGAACGTGTTGTTTTAGTCATCTCCTGATGATGCTAACTAGTTTAGCGAAAGACGCGTCAAGAGACAGTATTTTTGTTCTGTTTTGGTTGGTTTCCGGGTTTCGCCTTGGTCTTCTTTGATTACAATCTCCAATCGTTTCAACTGCAACTGCAGAAGTCATCTTCAGTGGCAGGGTCGAAGTACTCTTATTTATGTTTCAGTTTCAGTTGCAGTTGAAACATTTGAAGATTTTAACCAAAAAACACCACAGCAAAACCCGGAAACCAAGCAAAACATTGAAATAGAAATAGATGTATTTGAAATAGATATGCTAATATACATAAATATTATACAAATATATCAGTTAACTTACAAATATTGTGAAATATGGTACTCATGTTGGTGGAAATCTATTTCTCCAGTGGTGTATTCAATTATTGATTTGGTAGATTCACTGTTTTCCTCCTTTCTTTTGTTTTCACCTTTTCACAATTGAATTGTAAAAATAACCGAAAAAAATACATCGTTGTTGTTACTGAAGGAAATCGACGTCACAGAACGAGATCAACTAATTGGTTAGGATGTAGAAAGCCTTTCTGCGGACAAGAATATCAAGTGAGAACGAGATTATAAATGGAAGTATTCATAGAATTACTATTTACAGCTAAGAGACAAATTTTTTACGCCTGGCAAAGAACTGTCTATGGAATCTTTACTTTCTCCACTCATAGCTGATATATAAATAGAATGATTTGAAACTAAAGCTATTGAATAATAAAAAAGTACGACTGATGACACCTTAGTATAGAACTATGCAGATAACTGAATAACTAGACGTCATTCTGCAATACATCAACAGCGTGAGATCTATGAATGCACATTGTGGAAGGAATCCCAAAATACATTGTCATTCCGATAATTGACGGTTGAAGATTGACAACAAGTGGGAAATATCTGTCAACAGAAAACCTACTCAGCCTAAACAGTATCTGAATCATGAATTCAGTATATGCAATACCCAAAAAAGTTTGACAAGGAACCGTGCTACATCGGGAAGGATCTTTAAATGGATTCTTCAAAAAGCTGGTGGAACAGATAATTTTCACAAAACGACAAGAAAATTAGCATTGAAAAGCACAAAAAGAAAATCCAGCCAGGAGAAGAGTTCAAAGAAGCCGGGTATATATTGAACAACGATGAAGCAAGGCCAGTATGTAATACCGAGTCTAGTATATTACATTTCAGTTTGAAATCTCATTCGGTTTGGAAATATATCATTGCATTGGCGGCTCGTGTGTGAATTGAGAAGTATGTGTCAAATATCAATTCATTGTATTCGAAAAAGTTGGCTTCAAAATATAAGCGAAATATTACTTGTTATTTCAGAAGCGGCTATTTCATCAGGTTAGAGGAAAAAATTTACTCTAGTATACGTTGAAAGACGAAGAAAATATCCATGCAGCTGAAAAAATTTAAAACTAATCAGCTCTAGCTGACGAAAGAGAAAATCAAATGAAAAACGAATCCATGGGCTATATAACCCCAAAAGGCTTGGTTCAAAAGGTGAAATTAATCATCTCTCAGTGAATAACAATTCAAATCATGTAAGAAATGCAATATCCGATGTGGTCAATATGGTAGGACTGCCATTTATGAAAATGAATTTTTCGTAAGGCCACCTCGACGCCAAAACAGATGATATGTTATCAATAAAAATGTACAAAATCAAGAATATAAAAAATTGAAAAAATTTTGGGCAAATTCACAACAAAGTTGTTCATGACTTGCTCAAAGTGCAAACGTTCTATATTAAACATTTTCAATAAAACTGGGTTAGCGGGATGTCTGAATGATAATTTGGACTACTAATAGGTAGTAATCATGAGTACGAGTTAATCAATTTACTGTTAATTAGCAGATTTATTTATCAGAATCAATTTTCTGAATAATCTCATTAAATATACCATAAATATTATTCTTATTCTCAAGAATCAAGTAGGGAAAGTTAGTTGTTTCACTCCATAAATGAGAAGGAATATTCGAACATTTGGCTACCATAAAAGAAGTATCGCCAGAAGTTATGAAGAGTGAAAAAAGCCAATATATATGTTTACTACCTTACAGGTTGAGCTACACACCGAACTGGAGAGGAAATTACCCCATTGTCTACTAGAAAAAATCCACAAAAGCGAATTGATTGAATATCCGAACAGTACAAAATCCAAAATAGGATTTTTGGACTCAATCCTCAAAAAATGGTTTGGTAATCCATTTTCTGGAGAAGGTTAGTTTGAATTATAATTCATCCGTTCACATTCCACTTTCTCTATTCGATTTAATCTATTTTTTCACATTTTCAAAAGGCCTTTCATAAGATCTTCATATATGATGATTTATTTTAACTCTTTATATCAATTCATAATTGAGGAAAATATATCAAATATCCATAAATGGTGAATTGAGTGGGGCTATCCAGAATAATATCACATTTGACTTTCCGTAAATCGTAGATAACTAGTAGACATTTATGACAACATTCGATATCATAATAAAGTTGCATATAAATTTTGTTGTTATTACCGATTCACTTTGTTTTGTCAAAATTTCTCGAGGCAACAAATGAGATTGACCCAACTTGGTGCACAAGTGATTAGGTGCATCATATAGTCCAAGATCCCAGAGCAATCAGACATAATCTATTTTCACATAAATGAAACCTTAGGTTCTCAATAGTGTCTTATGTTCTTTAAATAAGTACCTGCGTGCTTGTGGAGCTCGCCTTGTGACACCTGGTTAGGTACCAGGTAGGAACGGTAACTTAAAATAGTAGTTACTCAACTAAAATTTATATGAGTAATGTTTATATATGTTTTGCAAAATATTATTCTAAAATAGTATCGTAGGTGTCAGGCACTTTCTATGGACCAAAACTTTTCTCAGACGCTTTGAAGCTCCACAAAAAATAATACCTCTTTGTGATATGAGTGTTGAAAGTAAGGTTTTATTTCGTTAGTGAAAAAGTTTGCAAAACGAGCGTAGCGAGTTGGCACCAACATCATGCAAAGTTGTTTGTACAGAACTGTCCTGTTTTCATAATAAAATAGATAAATTTCTTATAAAAACACAGTTTGACATCTCTTGGCAGTTAACTATTTTCATGTTAACGCATTTAATGTGAAGTGGCCGTGTCACGTGACGCCGAATCACCTGGTTACCAACAAACAGTATCGTTTACAGCTCACGCGTTTCATTTAAAGTTCTTGCTGGTGTTTAATGTCTTGCATAATGGAGAACAATAGTGAGGAATTTTGTGTGGAACTCGTCAACTTTGTGGAGCATGTTTTCAAATTTTACTTGTCTGATTTTTGAATATGTTATTAGGTGTTAGGAATCACACGTTAAAAGGTAAGACCTCGTTAGTCCATAGCTCGTACAAGTTTCTCAACTTTTGTCGTTCGTATGGGGGCGAAAGCTGATTAACGGAAAAACAGATTTTGAACAGAAACAAATTTTAAACAGGTAACTATTACAAAGTTATGTTTCATTAGCCTTATCATTATCAGCTAAGTTGTCGTTACTTCAGCTAAGTTGTCGTTACTTCTTCTTTGAAAAATAGATGAAAAAATAAAAAAGCATAAAACTGCAAATATAAATTTTTCAAAACTTGAAGTCAAAGTACAGAACCTGATTCTTGGAGTGATTCACTAATGTCTCCTAGTAATTAGTCACCATCAAATTAATGAAAATGATACTGGTTTTCTTCCAAAGTTGTCAGGAGCAAAATTCCCAATAATTTCTTCGGAGTTTTATATCCTCTTTAAATAATTCCATGTAGTGTCTGTGCAGATAAGTCTGAAAATAACAACAATCTTTTTCTATGACATGATCTTGTATAAAATCACAAACTTCATCAACAGTTTGATGGTGTTGACGAAGATCATGCCAAGACGTTTTAGTTGTATTCTTCTTAGATGATATTTTATAAGAATATTCCAATTGACATTTCTTGTGATAGTATATTTCAAAATCCGTTACAGCTTGCACTTTCTCAATTAATTCCTCTTCTTCACTCAATTTCTTTGAGAAATCGTTTTTATCGCACGCATGCCGTTATAGTCTTTTCAAGTTTTTTTGTCTCCTGTATTAGTAATCAGTATTAGTAATAGATTTACTTGGTAGGCTTGATGTTGATGCAATTGATTTATTTTCAATAGTACTGGATTATTTTTTATAGCTTTTTTTGGTTTTTCAGGAGTGGCAAAACAGTAACATTGTCTATGATAACCACTGTCGTACAAATCATCCGGTAAAAGTACGTCTTTGAATTTTAGGTTATGTATTATTCGCTGCTTTAGAATGTTTTGCACTTTTTGAATGTACTTTTTATTTCTTCCATGAATTTCACTATTAGAAATAACTTAAATGACTCACAAATTTGATAATGTTAACAACAAAAACATGTGCTCCAACATTGAAACATATTGTAGGTTAAAGGAAGACGTACCGTGTTACTATGTACGTCTCACTCGCTCTGAAACGCATGCGTATAGTGCTCTCGCACTTATCTTTCGGCTGATTAATTGTGTTTAGGGGATGTTTGGTCACTACACTTTGTCTAACTAATGAAATATAACTTTGTAATAATTACCCCAAAAAAATATTCGAAAATCAGACGTGTAAAAATAAGTAAAGTTAATTAAATTTTTGTGGAGTACAAAAGTTTGGGTCCATGGAAAGTATCTGTAACTTATGATATTATTTTAGAATAATAGTGTACAAAACATAAATGAAAATCAGCCAACAAAATTTAAGTTGAGTAACTCCCATTTTTAGGTACCTTTCTTACCTGGTACCTGTCCAGGTGTCACAAGACGAGCTCCACAAGCACGCAGATATTCAAAGAACAAGAGACGCTACTGAGAACCTAAGGTTTCATCTATGTTGAAATAAGTTATGTCTGATCGCTCTGGGATTTTAATCTAATTGTGTTATCTCATTTTATTTTTCATTTCATTTCCATTATTCATATGTAATTGACATTTCACTTTTTGTGTAGGGGAGACTGGGTAGGGATGAAACAATTTAGCATTTATCGTTTATAATTTTGTTGTTTATAATTTTGGTGTTTATAAACTAAGTGACGATTATGATGTGTGAAATTCAAATGTGAAGAATCAGCTATGATATGGGTGTATCATTCTAGTTTTCTGGTTACTATTTTTTAGAAATATATGAAATATAAATTCTTGTTTCAACCGTCCCTATGCCAGGGGCGGTTAAAACAGTGATTGGGGTGGTCTGAAACACATACAAATAATACAATATATACTAATGAAACATGTTTATTATGTCATTAGTACTAATTATACGAATAATGGGCTTGTTTCATGATTTTTGGTTTATAGAAATTTTCTTAATAGGAATTTTAAATTAAAAAACAGTGCACTTTGTTTCATCTCTCTAAATACCGTAGTTTTCCCGTAATTAATAATT